AGATAAAGTGTTTGCTAAAAGATTATACATGTTAGTATATGATGTTTTTAAAACTGGATAACTAGTAAATTCTTGTTAAATGAAGTCTTTTGGCACATTATTTCTTATGTAGTATTGTTGATAATCTGGAAAGTTTTGGAACCACTGCTTTAAAGAAAAATATGCTTTTTTTTTTACTTAACTATATTGCCTTGCAATCACTCATTGTTTTACTCCCAGAGTTAACTTTTAAACTAGGAATACAAAACTGAACAAAATTAGAAAAAAACCTAATAAACAGGAAAAGATATTGGTACAAATCTGCATTCCTTTAGATCCATTCTCCTCTTCCAGCTTCACCGTAGATTAGCCAAGCACTTTGTGCAAAAGATGTCCAGATGGTTTAATATATTAAGTGACCTGGATCTGCTCCAAATTATAATGGGTACTTCCTTTGCCCACATTCAGCTCACTACAAAGTTCCTTAAATCTTTGTTGGTAGACTTTACCTAAAGTTTCTGCTAGAAGGACATTAATGAAGAGAGATATCCATCATGATGCAGATAGAAATAGTAAATATGCAGTTTTTTTTTGTGTATTGAAGCAGAGACCATCTTCTAATTACTTTTTAAATACTGTTTCAGGTTGTCCAATCCTCTTGTTATATAGCCCAGGAAAACATAGATATTTTAGGTTAGATGTCTATCCACATGTAATGCAAGCAAACACCGTAAAGATTAGGCTTGATTTGATTAACTCTTTTTCTCATTTATCAGCCAATGTTTTTGTTTTCACCTAGTTTTCAATTACTGTAGGCATCGGCTAAGTACCAGCATCAAGGTACATAGAGGTTCAAAAAATGTTTTCAGGCTGTTAAAGTTCATAATGTTGTTACAGTTTCAAGTCCTTTAAATGATGCATCCATATGAAGCAGTTTTTCTTGGAAATATTTGGGATAATTTGGGCAATGATGTTGGAACTTATGGAGGGTTGCTTGTTACTTTTAATAAGGTTATAAAAAGACATTTTGACAATTCTAGGCTTATTGCAACTAACCGGCAAATATCTGTATCTGTATGTTTATTTTTTATTTTTTGTTGTATCCTACTTTTTTTCCCATTTCAATGAGTATAAGATATGCCTGGGATACAAGACTGTCTAGTTTAGAACCCAATTTACTCAGTACATAAAATATACAAGTAAAACCAGTTATAAATGTCTTAGTTGGGTCTTAAATCTGTTTAAATTTGGTAAACCATTTAGGTTTTTTAATCATAGTTGTCCTGCCTTAAACCTATACAGGTGATTAAAATGTAACCAATGAACAGTCCCTTATATGACCCAATTTTCAGCCCATTTCCAACCTTATAGGTCCCATAATTAAATGTGGCCTGGACACCAGAGCAGATTTCCATCCATTGTCTAAACCTGCTTTTCTATGCAGGTTGCTCTTCAGAGGAGAGTTTTCTAGCTCCATCAAAACAAGACAAGCTGGAGAACACCCTGGTCAGGTTGCTATTCTCTTACAGGAGCTTATATAGTAGCACTGGATTGTGGACACTGCGTTAGGAGAACATGCGTACATCATGCAGAAAGATTACAGGTTTGGAATCAAACCCAAAACTTTGTGCTGCAAAGCAACAGCACCAACAACAACTTATCTGCAGTGAACCCCCCACCCCTGAGCATATAACGTGACACATTTATCTGAAGTTCTGCATGATGTTTCTCTGAGCTCAAAGACAACAAACAGCTCCTAAAAACATTCCTCTGTTGCCACGGATGTCTGCTTCCAGTTTCATTGTTGGAAAACTTGACCTTTCTGCCAGTTTCTGCAGTTAAAAAGCCTCACCCAAGCATGATGCTGCCACCACCATGCTCTCTGTCACAATTCAAGCAAGATGTGATTAGTGTAGGTGAGTCCACTGCATTAAGCTAGATTGGCCTCCGTTGCAGAAGCATCTCATTGGAAATCAGTGAGTCTGAGCTCAACTTAAGAAAGTGATTTTTTCTAAAGAAACTAAATGGAAAGTTCTTACCAACCAGCATTATATACTTACTGTCAACATAGCTTGGCTTGAATTGGAATGTAAGAACTATGATCTGTTTAAATATGACTGGAATTATCTGATTACACATGTCTGTATGTAAATTAGATATATCTGTCTAGTAACATGTCTTCAAATGACAGTAGTCCTGTGTGTTTAAAGTAAAGTACAATTTGCTTTTGTTGTTTGGTATTAGTCACTTACCATCTCATAAAGTAATGTGGGCAAAAAAAACTGTAACGGTGAGAATACTCTACGTTGCCAGACGATGATGTTTATTCTCTGTTGTTTAGTTAAGAATCTCATTATTTGGGGTTAGATATTTTAATTTAAATTCTGTATTATCTAAATAATTAGCACTGGGGTTTGACAGTGAGAATGTCATACCCACCAACACCCTGCACAGGCTATTATTTATCATCTAACCTTTTTTTTAAAAAAAAAATCAAGCATCTACAGTGAGCACGGAATGCATGTCAGCATCATTGAAAATGTGCATTGTTAGGGCAGCAGGGCTTTGGATCTGAATCTGAATCTGAGAAAGCAAACAAGCAGTGATGGTGACAGCAGTCAGTGTTTTTGTTTTTACAGCTTCCGGTCGCTGTGTCTGCATGTAAAGGACTGCGGCCCAGTCCCATTTCCATCCTCTACAAATCCAAACTGGGACTTGATGCAGATAAAAGAGCATCTCCAGACCTCCAAACCTGAACACATAAGGTCCAGCTGTGCCCACCTTATCTGCAGCTTTTAGCTTTCTCCTGCTCCTGCCCTCTTTTCCTCCCTAATCGTTCCTTCTCTGCTCATCTAGATCTCCTGTTTATTCTGTCGTTTCCTATGTTGCTCGTGTTTGGTCTGCAGACAGTGATTTTTGGCAGATACTGGGTAGATTGAGCCATTAAATTGAATAATGAGGCGTGTGTGTTACTGTCAGCTTCAGCATTCAATTTATCCAGAGTGTGTGTGTGTGTGTGTGTGTGGGGGGGGGGGGGGGTTAGGATAGAAATGACATCAATTAATCAGGTACAAACTAGCAAATCCTATTATGCAACTGAAATGCTTAATCTATCCAAACAATGAAACATCTCTCTTGCTCACCTCATGATGACCTGTCATCAAAATGACACATTCAACGTGAAAACAAGCATATTTGATTCAAGCATCACAATGATAAAACATTTTAGTTGCTTCAGTCTAAATGAGGGATCCTCTTTCTGCAGTTAACAATAATGCCTTAGATGTGATCGTCCAGATTCAGCCTGCCTATGTGTTGTTTTGCGCGCAGATGCAGATGATGCTGAGGAGAGGAGGAGGAGGGAAGGCCGTGGACCAAAAAAAAAAAAAATCTTACCTCAACGCTGAACTGATGCTGCTCTTCTCCGGACACCGAAATCCAAAGCAAGAGATGCAAGCAGAGCGC